GTAGGCCCCTCACTGCTGTGAGGGGCCGATCAGGAGATTGTCAACCCCTCCCCCGGTAACCATAGCATTTCTGTTTATTATAACATCCATTAAACTAAATTTTCAACTTTATTAATATTTTACTATAATCGGCACCCTTACCCTTTTTTTCAATATTGTCTCTATTTTAACTTTTTATGTGAATAGTTAGGTGATGATTTAAATTACGTGATTATTTTATATTTTAGGCATATATGATAAGGGTACAATTGGTCTGCGAGGATTTGATTTCACGTTCTCTTATGGTAAGTAAGTTGGGTAATATTTTTCAATTTTTTTTTGGTTTTATTTGGACTTTCAGATTCTTTTAAAAGTAACATATTATTCATTGTTGGTTTGAAGTCGAATCATATGTTTATTGTCAGCTAAAATTTTAATTGCTGTAAATAATATGTTTATTAGTGAATGACAATTAGTACATACATCCTTAATTATTGTTAACATTGTATCCCTAAATCTTCCTTATAAATATGGAACTCTATTCATTTTCTTCACTTTTTCTCCGTATTTCATAATACATTATCAATACGAGTCTCTAAAAATTAAAGTGAATTAGCAAAAAGATCATCTATTCTTAATAGTTTTCATTCACATACTTGTTACCCTCAAATCACGCTAATAATAATAATTAATGATATCATTACATGAAAGAATATCGTTCTATTCTCTACAGTTAGTCATTGTGTATACAATAACTATGACTAATTATTCACTGCAATCACATGCTAATTATTTACTTTAATCTTGATTAGCTTTTTTTTTTATTCGGTAATAATCAATGTTCAGTGCAATTATATGACTTTTCCCCTGTTTGACACATTAAAATTTTCATTTTCATTCTTCTATTCATTTTCAACCACACATTCTTCAATAAAGTAATATTTTCCATCACATCAATAATTTTTTCTTTTTTTTCAACCGCACATTCTCCATCAATCTACTATTCCATAATACATTCTTCCAAAATAATATGATTCAAACACACCTTCAAACACAAATTTTTCATTAAAATAATATTTTCCATCACATCAATAACTTTTCCTTCTTTTTCAACCACACATTCTCCATCAATCTACTATTCCAAAATACATTCTTCCAAAATAATATCAATCAAACACATTAACTTTTCTGTTGATAATGTATTTCTAATAGTATATTGGTAGAGAATGTGTGGCTTAAAAAAATTTAAATTTACGTGTAATATTATTTTATTGAAGAACGTGAATAAGAGAGACAAATGTTTTATGTTGTTATTTACGAACTTGAACAAATGTATCTGTTAAATTCATAGATGTAATTTTAAGATATTTGTGTTCCTTTTACCCTTTCCAAGCTAAAATTTTTGACATCTCAAAGTATCAAGAAAATTGAAGTGAGATTGGAATATGTTTTTCAAGAACTCGTTCGATCGAATCGACTAGTTTCAGTCGTGCTTTCCATCCAAATAAAGTTGTTTGAAAAGAAACCATCATCAAAGAAAATATGTGCTATGTAATTTAATGTTAAAGATTCATGTGACGAAAAACAATTGGGAATCTAAGTGCGAAAATGAGAAAAAATTGGAATATTTTTGTTGTAACTAAAACGTGGTACATGTAATAAAAATTGTGGTTTGAAGTGCAATTACCCTTTAATATTTTATTTATTTACTAATTTGACCATACATAAGATTATGTAAATGCTTGGTATCGATTTTTTTAAAATTATTTTTTTCTCAAACTCATTTTTAGTCAAACATTACTTATATTTAATTTTTTTTTATTTCTAATTTACTTGTACGTAAAATTTTGATTTATAAGTATTTTCTAGTTATAACTATTTTTATTTGTAAATGATTTTTATATATAAGTGAATATTTAACTTACGAGTAATTTTTTAACTATTATGAGAATATTTACTTTATATGCTGGGAAAAAATTCTTATACGTATAAATTATATGTTGGAAAAAATATTCTTATACGTTAAAAAAAAAAAATTTCATTACTTAAATGGTCTTTTAATACGGTATATCACCAAATGCCATATTAGAAAAATTCCTCCTAATTCATCTTAAGACCATCATCCTAATTTTATCCTCCTTAATGTTGTCTCATCTAATCATATCTATTTGGATTGTGCTAGATGTACATCTAATCAATTATCTAATAGATTACACCCTCCTCACATGGAGGGAGGGGGGCGTGTAATTCATTAGGTAATGAATTATGTACATTTAGATTAATCATATCCATCTTAATTCAATAGGCACGTGTCCTAAGTGTATAGCACTTCTACTAAATCGTCAAAATAAAGTAGGATTTAAAGTTGTCCCAATTATTATTCATACTGTTTACTAGTTTGGCTTTATCGGAGTACAATTTTTTTCTTCCTCAATCAAAGGGACTATAGTCTGGACCACGTGCAAGAGTTTTACCTCATGGATCCTCTTAGTCAGTACTGCACGACAATACTCTATCTCAGTTGACATTAATATTGTTAAGTCGTGAAGTCTAATTATTATCAATCCTAATTATCGTTGATCCAAAATTTCATTAAAAATTATTTAGGAATTTATAATCTTGTAAAATCCTATTAAAAAATTGGATTTATTGTAAAATTCGATTTTTTCCTAATTTATCTTATAATTAGGGAGCCTTCCTAAGAATATATTATTATCATAAAAAAAAGAGAGATGTTAGAAAATGTAGGCATGCAGTTTTTCTTGTAAATATTTTTTCATCATGCAGAATTATTGTAGCTATGGGAGAATATGTAGTCTCACGTTGAGACGAACCTTTATAAATTTTGTGTGTTCTTGAATGATTTTTTTTCAAATTGATTTCTATCGATAAAATAGAATTAGGGTTTATAATTATTCGCAAACATGAGAAAAATGCAACACTAGCACGGTCGGCCATAGCTATAGGCGGCGTAGGCGATCGCATAAGGCCACGTTTTGGTGAAGATCCCAAATTATGTAAGGTTAATTGATTGGTTGAAAAAAAACGAAAATTATAATTACTAAATTATTTAAATTAAAATTATCATATCCAAACACAAGAAACCAATAAAATTTGAAAATACAAACATATAAAAAGAAATCATATAAATGACATAAAACTTATAACATACATTTATGTATCACATAAATATATCACAACCATTACTTTCTCTATATATCGTAAATTTGACATTTTATCTTCCAAACCATCATTTTTCTTTTTCTTAAATAAGAAACAAAATGCCACTTTTCTATTCAAATTCACGGCCATTGTTTTTTCAGTTTTCCAATGCTCTTATGGTGGGAAGCTACCGCTAAATGCACTAACCGGTTTTCATTTCTCTTTTGAGATTCTTTAATTTCATTTTATTTGTCCATTTTTTCCCAATTTTTGATGTTGAAATGAGATTTTCAAAGTCGAAGTCGATAAAATCTTATGTTCGATCAACAATGTCACAAAAAAGGTTGAATGAGTCGATCATAGTATCTATTAAAAAAGAAGTTTTAAACAGATTAATTGTAATAATGTAATTATTGACTTTCTGTCAAAAAAATTATAAAAAAATAAATTTAATTTCGACATTTGAAAGTTCTAAATTATTATTTTGATACTTTGAATATTGGTATTTAATAATAATAGAGACTCATATATGAAGTATGGATAAGGCTTTCAAAAAATGAGGACCGACACTGAATACTAGTGATTGGAATGTAATGAAATAACTAACAAATTTCCTGTCATTTCAACTTACAATAATCACAATAGAGGCTATATCTGAAGTTTGCATAAGGCCTTCAAAAAATAGGACCGACACTGAATACTAAGTGATTGGAATGTAATGTAATAACTTACAAATTTCCTGTCATTTCAACTTACAATCAAAATGTATATGTCGGTTCGATAAAATGCATAAATAATACTAAAATGCAACAATATATTAAATCCAAATTAATATATACATTTCGAATAAAAAACATGGTGTTTTCATCAACCATAGAAAGGTCAATGAATTATAGCTTGCTTTTTCAAAGTTATGGTTAGTTAATCTTCAACAACTCTCACCAAATCTGCACGTCCTTCTAATTGACAACCACTCAATTATAGTTGATTGGATCAAGTTAATTTCACTGTAAACATAAAAAAATGGAATATTATTTCTCCTATTCTCGATAACCTTGACACATTCTCGAGTTGACATACTCTCAATTGAATACCATTACTTAAGGATGTGTTTTGTCTTCCATTATTGGGAGAAAAATAGAGTAATGAATAGTATTTTTTGGAGAATGTGTGGTTGAAAAGTAAAATAAATTTATTGATTTATATGTAAAATATTTTAGGACTTTGTTTGGTGTACATAATTATTGTACATAGGGGTGTCCATAACCCTCACATGGGGTGGAGCCCACATTTTTGTGGACCCCACCCCATGTGAGGGGGTTATGGACATTCTTATGTACAATAGTTATGTACACTTAACATTTTTCAATATTTTATTGGGTGAATGTGTGATGGAGAATTTTACTGCAGCAAACAATCTTTTGAAATAATGGTAGACAAACAATGGCTAAGAAAGATACGCGCTTAAACAGTCAAGACCAGATCTCAATCTAATCATCTTGTGAATTTTAAGAGATTGACTGTGACAATGTCGGCAATAATCTAAGTTGCTGAATTATTCTACAAAAATCAACCAGCAGAAGGATGGAAAGGAGAAATTTAAGGGAAACAAACGATTATTTTAACTTAAATTCAGTATGATCTAATGAAGTTTAATTTCAAAGTACTTAATAATGTTGATTTGACAAAAAGTAATTCATAATGTTAATTTGACTAATTTATTTAATAATATGATGCCTCCAGCTTGCATAGATGTTTATGCATGGAACAAACGCGGGATCCTTTGTCTATATAATAGGAACATCATTTCATTAGTAAGTAATTAACCCATTGAAATTCAATAATCCCACTTGCACACAATGTTTTCTTCTATTTCTTTCTTGGCGATATTATTGGCAACCACTTTTCTACGATCAGAAGCTCAGCTGAATTCGACATTTTATTCGAGTACTTGTCCAAATGTTTCTAATATTGTTCAAGGTGTCATTCAGCAGGCTTTACAGTCTGATCCACGCATTGGCGCCAGCCTCATAAGACTTCATTTTCATGATTGTTTTGTTCAGGTCTTGCTCTGTTTTTTCTTATCATTTGAACATGATTATGAAAAGATTTTGAACTAATTCGATCCTTTTCTTTAAAAAAATTTACATCAGGGGTGCGATGCTTCGATTTTGTTAGATAACAACGGGACTATACAGAGCGAGAAAGATGCAGCTCCAAATACTAACTCGACTCGTGGCTTCAACGTCGTGGACAACATCAAGACTGCTGTTGAGAGTTCTTGCCCTGGTGTTGTGTCTTGTGCAGACATTTTAGCCCTTTCTGCTGAAGCTTCTGTTTCTATGGTATACATCCATCATATATCAAAATTAATTTCTTGACATAGCACGAAACAAGAAATTCAAGCGAAAACCTTAACAAATTTTTTGTAATTCACCGAATTATGAAAAAAAAGAACTCACGAAATTTTATAAATGTATTAACCCTTTTATTTGTAAGGGTTTACATGAAAATCTAGTTTAAAAGAACCAAAATAGAAAAGAATTCGAAATAAACTAAATGATAAAAATAGCACTAAAAATTTAAAAGCAGTTTTTGAGTCCTAAACCAACTCGGATGTCTAAAATCCATCATATGTCAAAGCAAGGCAGTGAGTTCAGTCCGGCTCATTGTTCTCTTTCCAAAAAGGTATTATGGGTCCAAATCGAAGCACGAACACTAAATTTGCAGTTTACTGTTTTTACAGTTTTTCCTTTTTCGGTTTAATTGTTTCTCCATTCATTCAACCATCTATTCCACATCATTTTTTTAGCCTGGTCAATATTGAGAATTAGATAAATGTTACGTACTTTCTAGACTTCTAGTTACAAAATATCCCTTTTACGCATGCAGGCAGGCGGTCCATCGTGGAATGTTTTACTAGGAAGAAGGGACAGCCGAACCGCAAACCAAGCAGGAGCAAATAACTCAATTCCAGCTCCTTTTGAGATCCTAAGCAATCTTACTGCTAAGTTTTCTGCGGTCGGCCTCAACACTACAGATTTAGTAGCATTATCTGGTAACTAACTAATTTTCCTGCCTAATAGATATGAATTATGATATGGAAATTTTGGACATAATACTTGTTACAAACTAATAAAATGTCCCTTTGTCCATTATAGGTGCTCACACATTTGGCCGAGCTCAGTGTAGATTATTCAGCAACCGCCTCTATAATTTTAGCGGAACAGGAAATCCCGATCCGACTCTAAACACGACGTATTTGGCCACCCTACGCCAGATATGTCCACAGAATGGAAGTGGATTCACGGTGACCAACCTTGATCCGACAACACTTGATACATTTGATAACAACTATTTCTCGAACCTACAAAACAATCAAGGTCTTCTCCAATCAGATCAAGAATTGCTTTCGACTTCTGGTGCTCCGACTATATCCATTGTCAATCTCTTCAGCAGTAATCAAAGTGCCTTCTTTGCAAGCTTTGTGCAGTCAATGATAAACATGGGAAATATCAGTCCATTGACAGGTACCAGTGGGGAAATTAGATCAAATTGTAGGCAGGTTAATTGAAGCTAGTGGCTTGTGCCTCTGCAATGTGTTCTTACTATTCATTTTAAGTTTTCAAAGTTTGGATCCTTAATTGTAGAAATAATTGGAGCTTCATAAGTTTACAATTAGTGATTATTTAAAGATTTAAAATTTAAAACCTATGTAATTCCAAATTATTTAATATTCAGAATAATTATCGTGGGACTGTATAGCGGAATTGATTCTAATTGTTCTACGAACTACCGTACTACTGATTAACAACTTCAATTCAAAATTAGTTAATTATGCAGTTCTCGTCGCCTTCTAACTAGTTCACGGCCAACATAATTTCATTTGTTTCAAATTGTGGCAGCAATATGTCGTAATAAAATTAAATACAAATAATGAACATACGATATAACATGGTAAACCCTTATGGAAACATCCACAGGTCCTACGCCATGGATAAAAATGATTCACTATAAAAGAGGGATACAATCGTCTTAAGTTTTAGGTATTACAAAAATTTCTAACACAACTAAAAACTTTAATTGCAAAACAAAAAACTAAACATGAATCAAAAGCAACTAAAACTTCCCTCGTGTTAGCCCTTTTGATCTGTCAATGAGTGGAACCAAGTACTCCATCTTGATCTTACACCACTCCAACAATAGAATCTGGACTGCTGCACAAGCCGAAATAAGAACCCCACGTAGAGATGCGATTTCTATCTACGTATCTCTTCAAGCTTCGCTATAGGATTTTCGCGCCTCTTGGGAATTTCTCAATTGTCGAGCTTACTGAAATTTTTTTGTGCGTCCAAAGCTTCAAGAAAAATCGTGTATTACCTTGTATTATATAACGATAGTTTTCTCTTTTTTTTGGGCCCCCCCACCCCCCCGGGGCATAGCTCAGTGGTGTAAAGGATAAAAGTGAGATAGTTTCAGATAAGCTGGTAGCCGCAGTGTGAAGGTTCGATTCCTACCTCTTACAATGTATGGAATTAGACTTTTTGTGGGTATCAGTATGATAGCTCTTGTACCCTGACCTATTGAGACACATCCCACGATTTACCTCCTTCACTATGCTCTAGGGGCGGGGCGGGGCCCTCAAGGTTGAGGTTCAACCTTTATATAAGCATAGTTTTTACTCCATTAAGCAGCAATAAATTCATGTATTTTGTAACGCAATTGATGCACAAAAATCTTCAAGAAATGTAATTTTCCAAACCACAAAGGGAATCACAAGTATATCTAATCAAATCTTTATTACATGGAAATAATGAATCTTTCTCTCTCTCCAAGTATGACAGATATGATTATATTGCACTATAATCCATATTCCACATTTCAAAAGTTAGATTGCAATATATAATATTCATATGAAATTTTTTTATAATCAGTGAATGCACATAATCAATATGGTCCTGTTCTCAGATTGGAGAGTAAGGTCAGAGAAGGGCAATCTAGCATTTTTAAAACTAGAGTTTTTAAGAAACAAAGATAAATAATACAAAAACAAGGAAACACCATTTTAATTGTCTCGATAAGGTTGATCTTGTAATTCTTGGCCTGTAAAGATGAATTGTTGGGTGCTCCATTTTCTTCTTGATATATTTTGAAAAAGCAAACAACGGGTCCAAGGCAATAAAATATAAAAAAAAATATTTCGTGAGTCAGTTGGGTTCTAACCCACATGCTTAACCAGTACAACGCCCAAACTTTTCTTAAGCTTCTTCAGAAAATTCATTAACTGAAATTCGAACTTGCTTAATAATAAAACAAAAAACACAAAACATAGTACCATGGTTTGATCAATGAAATACCAACCCAACTAACGATTCTATCGATTTTGGTATGTATTTTGAGTTTATGTGTATATCAAGTAAACATCTCCCCCACAATGTTAGAATCTTGTTTTTCCATGTAGACTTGAAATGAAGCCACACACTACCAAACACGAGATCAAGTACCATGGTTTGATCAATGAAAGACCAAATCATATTTAGTCCTCAAGTTTTGGACAAGAAGCCAACAGTACTAAACCTCAAGTTTTGTTCAGATTCTACTATGCTTAGTAATCTTCTCGAAGTCTTCAATCTTGTTCAATTTGAACCTCAAGCACACACTCAAGCAATTCAAACGCAATTACCATACAAATTCATGCTATCAGTATTCAAAAAACTTTGAATGACTCAATTTCTTTTGGTATTGTGATTTTTGGTCAGCAAGGATCCGGGTCCACTAATTTTTAAATAACTATTTACAAATTTTGTACTCGCTAGAATGATCGATATCCACACTCAAGATTACAATTCAAGGAACTATTATCATTTGTAGTGTTTCCGTGTGCATGGAGTATTTATTTCGATCAATCACATTCCAACATATTGTGAATAAAGTGATTCTACTTCATAAACAATGGTCAGACTGTGTTTTAAACCAATCAACATCTGAGTTGTCCCTATATATAAGAAATAAGAATCGTGCCCAGCTAGCCGACTTTTTCTATAATCATATGCCATGTCTTTTAGAACCCCGGAAGTAGCTTTCACAAAATTATTAATGTATAATATATGTCAATTTAATGTAAATAGGATGACAACCCTCTTTTCGGGTGGCCATGCTCTTAAACACTTCATCGTAGTATTGTGTCAAGAGGCATAGATACCGACTATTTCTCATAAGTCAGTCACTCTAACGTTAAATGTCAATAAAAATTCTTGGATGTATGATTGGAAATGTCATTATTTGAGCCCCATTTTTTTTGTGTGGATTGCATTTTGGAAGAGTAGATTGATGGAAAATGTGTGGTAAAAAATGAATGAAAAGTTTTTGGGTAGTGTTTAATATTATTTTATTGAAAAATGTGTGGTTGAAAAGAAGAGAGAAAAATGTATTTAGAAAAAATGGGGATCAAACAAGGTCTAAATTTCAAACCTGAAGCTTTGAAGGGATCAATCTATCATTGTAAAAGCTAATAAGAACATAATCTTGAACTTTATACATGTGGCATTGATATAGCAAGATTGATAATATGTTTTCTTATCCGCAATTTTCATTGCACCGGCACAATAAACAACATTAAAACTATCTAGAATCTCTTATCAACTCTCAGTAGATGTATTATCTGAACTGGAATCTATATAAAAAGGAAAGAATGTAAATAGTCATTAAAAAATAAGATAAAAAAAACATTTCGCAACAAAAAAAAAAAAAATTTTAAAACTTTTTGATTCATTATACTTACCAATATCACTATCAGTATTATCATCTTCACCATCTAGACATTTCTCATCTTCACTGTAATATTCATTCAATGTATCATTTTCCTCTTCCTAAGTATTGTAGATAACTTCATTCATATTTTCATTTATTGGTTGCACCTCTATTTGTAGTCCTGCATTTTCTATAATATCTGGAGCAACATCTCCTCTGTGATGTCAACACCTTCCTGTTGTACCATCCAAGCAATATGTGATGATTCATTTTCCTAGAATACTTCTTGCTCACTACACTATCATATCTTTCAAGAATGTCCTATATGACTCTATGTTGCACCTTTTGCACTACTTTCATTGTGTACCCAACACTAGATCATCTATATGAAATACATGTTGTGCTTAGACGCCATGTATATAGGAATCATCCATATACCATTTGCGATTTACATTGATAGAAATAAGATGTAATCTTCCACAATTATTTTTTGCTTGGATTATTTCCAATTACTTTGGAACAAAGTGACATAATAGTCACAAATGCATATCAACTCAACAACATTACATAATACACCAAAAAACTAAGGATGTGTTTGATTGAATTTATTTTTTTTAATGAAAATATCATTTTTCCATCCAATTTCCTACTGTTGAGGTATTTGATTGTCATTTTTTTTTTCAAAACAAATTTTTTTCCAAAATTGGTTATATAACCATGTTTTCTAGGCAGTTCACACTTTCCAAAAACTCAACTTTATGAAAAAGTACAACATTTTCTATATTAAAATTAAGTCAGTCAAATATATTTAATTGACAATTTTCATGCAAATAAGTTCTAGAACGTATTTTCTTTCCATACAAGTTTCATACTTGCAATCAAACCGCCCTTAATGTTTTCATCTCCTCGTATAATCACTCTACTATTTAACAAGGAAACTTATCCCCTTAGCAATACAACGTGAATAGGAAAATACTAAAATTCGTTGACACATGCTAATGTATACAATTCTTAGCTTACAACTGAATCTTTTTTTATTATAAATTCGTTATTTGTATTAATAAAAACCTAATCAATGTAACTTTGGATATTAATGTTATGTTGCATTAATGAATAAATTAGACTTGCATTATAACTTACATGAGAAACCATTTAGGAAATAATTCTTCTTGTTATTGTTCCAAATTGATATTGTTGTTGTAACAGCTTCATGTGCTCACTACAAAAGAAACATCCAGTTAAATACTACAAAACATTAGTAATTAATAGTAAAACAATTTAAAAGTTGAATAAGAACTTACTCTAAATATTGTTGAACCTTAACATAATTATTTAGGACATACCAATGAGCTCTATCAATTACCTATTTTGAAAGTAATTTTGTTTTTGCATAGCCTAATAGTTGAGTATTTTAAGAGAAGGCTGACAGGCTTTCAGTAGAAGTCCTACAATCATCGTTCCACCCAGGTTGATTTGTCTTAATGACACAACAAAGAGGTCGGGCCTCACACTTACCTTCGGAATAATAGAATCCATAGCACGATTCAATTCCAAAGGGTCCGCACACTGATACTTTGTTACGATCTCGATTATTAGCACTCAGATCAAATCAACTCTCACATCCTCAATAGTGTCATCCTCGAGACTGAAAAAGCTTGATGGCTATTGATGTTGAGCATCCTATGCATGATTGGTCTCGATCTCTTCATTGGTAGACTTATCTACGAGGCGGCGTCAAACTTAATGCTTCGATATGCCAGCTTCATCCTCGACATCTTGCATGACCATTGACCCAACGCCTTCACTTCAATCTCCTCTGCTTTG